GGTTTCTTACTACTTTCAAAATTAGTGAAGATCTAAGGCAGTATTGTAACGCGTGTAAGACAAAAGCCAGTGTAAAACAATAGTAAATATGCATGAGATTTAATGCATAAATTAAGAGGAAATCGCAATTTCATTCATTGTCAATTACTTCAAACAGTTTTTTTTTAAATGTACTTTGTAACATTCTTCGTCAGAGATATTATAAATAATTCTATGAAAACAAAAAATATTGATTTACTTAGTTTAACTTGTAATATGACAGCTCAAGATTAGGTACTGGACACGTACAGCATAACGTATTTCTCTTCACATAAATATTAGGCGTGAGAGGTAAGTATTAAGGGAGAAAACTACGCAGAACAACAGCAGTCCAGAGAGAAAGAAAACTTGACACAAATCCTATACCAACCCGTCTGGCCAGCGAGGTATAGTAGGCCAAAACCTCCTTTCTAAGGAGAGGCCCATTTCCAGCAGTGGACTAGTAAAGGCTGTTGATGATAATGATGATGAAATAGTAGGTATATGTCTATATTGTGCATATAAATAATATAATATATGCTTATTTAGTAAATAATATTTACTCAAAACAATTAATTAAACCAATCCTTTTTAATAATATGTAATCTAGTTAATAACTTCATTACATTTAAGAAAAATAAGTAAATCCAAAAAAAAAAAAAAATGTTAGTGATTAAACAAATTCTACGATATCCGGAATGATCCCTGGATTTCATCTGCCAAGATTTTAACTTAGTTTAGTACAAAATTAAATGGCATGTGAAGATTCCAAGTAGTTTTGTACTTACGTAAATTAGAAATTCGTCGAAAAGTATATATTTTATTTATTATTCATCTCTGACTTTAACATATAAAATAATACAACACTTGAAAGTGGCTTCAATAGTGCTTCAATACAATCAATACCACGCTAATGCTACGCATCATATGATTTGTAGGTTTTATTGTTCTACTTAAATATATCCTCTACAAACTAAGACTCAATAAATACTACTTTCATCTGATTCAATACGTATCTGGTTCCTATCTATATATATAAAAGAAAGTCGTGTTAGTTACACTATTTATAACTCAAGAACGGCTTTACCGATATGGCTGAAAATTGGTGAGGAGGTAGCTTAGAGCCAGGAGACGGACATAGGATACTATTTATTCCGTATTTTTTTTTTTTGTATCGGTGTCGATCACCTGATGACAACGGTGGAACTGTCACAACAAAAGTGAAAAGAATGGATTTCGTTGTCGACAACAGTTGGATTGTTCCATATTCGCAACATATTTCTGAAACGTTCAAGACACATTGCAACGTTGAGTATTGCAATTCAGTAAAGTCCATAAAATATATTTGCAAATATGTCACGAAAGGCAGCGATATGGCGGTTTTTGGATTGCAATCCTCAAAAACCAACGATGAAATTTCACGCTATCAATTTGGTCGTTATGTAAACAGTAATGAAGCGATTTGGCGTATATTCGCATTCCCTATTCACGAACGTCATCCTACTGTGTTGTGCATTTGGCGGTGCATCTGGAGAATGGTCAACGAGTATATTTCACGGCTTCGAATGCTATGCAACGTGCTGAAACACCTCCAGCAACTACATTGACCAGTTTCTTTGCGATCTGCCAAAGCGATACGACAATCGCTGAAGCCATTATCTCTGCATCTCCAAGTCAGATACGCACATTATTCGCTATCATAATTTCGACATGCTTTCCATCAAACCCATGTAACCTGTGGCACAAATATAAGGATAATATGTCAGAAGATATTTTACATCAAATTCGTATTACTTCCAGAAATCACGATGTTGAGATGAATGAGGAGATACATAATCGTGCTTTACTCTTGATCGAAGATATGTGTTACCTCATGAGCGGTAGTTTATTAATCAGGTTAGGAATGCCAGCGCCCAATCGTGAAATGAATGACGCATTTAATCGAGAATTGGAACGGGAACGTGAATATGATCACCAAGAATTAGATTTAGTAGTTCAAAAGAATGTTTAATTCCCAACAAAAGGAAGTTTATGATACTTTAATTAAGGCAATCGATGATGGAAATGGTGGTTTATATTTCCTAGATGCCCTTGGTGGAACAGGTAAGACATTCCTCATGTCAGTAGTTTTAGCCACTGTTCGTGCGAGATCCAACATAGCGGTTGCATTTGCTTCTTCTGGAATAGCAGCGACATTGTTAGAAGGATGCCCTACGGCTCATTCAGCATTAAAATTACTGTTAAATCTTCAAACTATTGAAGAACCAACGTGTAATATTACGAAAAATGATAAAACCTTACGAAAAATGATGCCGATAAAACTTTGGCCATTGCTGGCCAAAGTTTTATCGGCATCGAAAATCATCATCTGGGATGAATGCACAATTGCGCATAAACGTACATTAGAAGCACTTAACCGAACATTTACGGAATGATTCGAGATGTTTTGGAGGAGCAATGATTTTACTGTCTGGCGATTTCCGCCAAACACTGCCAGTAATTCCAAGATCTACGGCTGCCGACGAAATAAACGTTTCCAAATAATTTCTGTAATTTTGTCTCATCAAAAGACGAACTTATTAACAATGTATTGCCAGACATTATTTCTATCTACAAAAATAATGAATGGTTGAGTGAGCGAGCAATTTTAGCGGCTAAGAATAAAGATGTAGCCGACCTGAACTATATAATTCAAAATAAGATCATTGGAACAATGCATTCATTCAAATCTATTGACTGCGTCACAAATGAAGATGAAGCCACCAACTATCCAATTGAATTTTTAAACTCCTTGGATGTGCCTGGCTTACCACCGCACAATTTACGCCTAAAGGTTGGCTCCGTAGTAATCATGCTTCGAAACATAAACCAACCAAAATTGTGCAACGGTACGTTTTTTTTTTGGTGGTTAAAAATTGATGAACAATGTAATTTACGCGACGGTACTGAAAGGAAAATTCAAAGGTGAGGAAGTTCTCATTCCGAGGATCCCGATGATCCCAACCGATTTGACGTTTGAATTTAAAAGACTTCAATTTCCGATCCGTCTTGCATTTGCCATGACCAGCAACAAATCACAAGGCCAATCCTTAAAAGTTTGTGGTTTGAATCTAGAACATCTATGTTTTTCCCATGGTCAATTATATGTGGCATGTTCGCGGGTCGGAAGACCATCTGCGTTGTTTATTTTTGCGCCTGATAAGAAAATAAAAAATGTCGCGTATCACAAGGTACTTAAGTGAAGAGCAACCTATGTACTGAAATGCAGAAACAATATTAAATGATTAATGTACTTCATTTTTTTTTTCTAAGAAATAAATTAACTTACTAAATTCGAAAATCGGCTTATTTATTGCCTTTAAGGCGGAACAGAGTTCGCCGGGTCAGCTAGTCTCAAATAAAAAGCAAATTTACAATTTGCATAGTGTTGTTACTGATGGGAAGGGGCAACAGGATACTGATCCTGTGCTGATAGGTTCGATGACTCAGTGACAGTGTCAGTGGTGATATCATGCTCATGAGTGCACATTCTGGAGGTTATACTACCCTTAAGTCCTGAGTAACACCTACAGAAATTCAGGTTCCCTTGATCAGTAAAGATGTCGTTTATTTTAAATAAATATTTTTTTTTTGTATTCTGTTGTTTGGTATTTTCTGTGTGGGTAAATATAATTCTTCACTCTTTCGGATTTTTCGTTGTTTGTTACTTCCGGGCATTGTGTAACCTGATATGTTAAAATCAACTGGAAATAACCAATTTAAATAATAATATTTAAATCCTTGGCATTATGTGTATAGTATTTAAGGATAATTATCAACAATATTTTTTTTTGCAAAATAACTAAAGGACACAGAAATATTACAGATTAAAAGAATAAATATTTACCTGTGTGTGCTTCTCTTATTCTAATACTCTGTCATTATAGTGTATTTGTTTATGGTATTTCTTAAGAATATTTTATTTCATTGTCTGTAAAATATTTGAAACAAAAACCTACACAATAGTTAAATTTAACCAAAAACATTGTGAAATAAGATGGCATTCGTGTTTAAGATACGTCAGGGATAGTGTCTTTAACATTACCATATAAAAATACCGTTAAATGCAACTTTTATGTTTGTGAAGATTTAACACACCGGACACAGATAGCAGCACTACCAACTTAACAAAGTTTACGCTACTGTAACAGCGTACTTGGTATGCAGTAGCTGTGTTTCTGTGCCACTCTACATACTTTTACCGGCGTGATTATAATTTAAAAACGTGCTTGGCATTGCACCGGAGTTTTTGTACTTACGCTAAGTGCTCAACCAGGTTTAAATGCATTTACGTTTAATTGAAATAAAATAACAATTCTCTGTAACAAGAAAGCCGCCTTGGAGTTTGGAAGAAATAAATACTGATACGGTTTAACTGTTAAGGAGCCACTTCAAATAATTTTCTTAATAAAATTAATTGTACACGACAAGAATATTGCTTAAAACATCAAAAGTAAAAGACGGAGCCTCAGGAAACAATTACACAGCTGTATAAAAGTCTTACATAATAGGTATTCCGTTATCAACACAATTATGTTTAAGAAAAACATAAGAATGTGGGGACCATTCGTGGTTTCATTTAATTGTAGTGTAGGAGCACAAAAATAACTGTTTTTAATTATAAAGTCTTTCGATTTGACATAGGTCTTAGGTCACAATATAATTAGGCACCTTTTCTTTTATGGACATCGGAGGTTAATAATTACACAACTCTACCTAACTAGCTGTACTTTGCCACTCTTCGCTGTAGCACCTTGAATTTGCATTGATTAGACATTAGGAACAAAATTGACACGGAAAATAGATACAAATAATCCGTGAAGAACTTTTTGAGTTTTTGAAGAGCACTCAAACCAACTTAACGATTAACGTATTAGAAATGTTTTCCAGTTTTTTCTTATTATTTTTACCAATTTCTTATATGTGTTCTTTACTTGTTTCAGCTCTGGGAAACGACAAATCGGCTCCAATGTCTTAGCTAGGTATGTTATTTTTTATCAGATAAATTCTATTACGAACTAAGGATGAGCTGCCATCTAGTGATATCCCTTGTACATAGAAACCATTATAAAACATTGAGTTCAGCGCCATCTATACAAATATAACTAAACAAAGATAACTGAGTGAATGTGTTACAAAGATGAAGGCAAAACTTCTAATGTTATCCAATAGGTGTCGTACTGTGTTCCAATAATTTTAAAATTAATTTTGGAATAGAGACAAACACGAGTGTAATAAACTGATGCTAATATGGTGAGTGACTTTGTTTCAGCCAATTATACCGGTCGTCGTCATTCAACTCTTCTGGCTGTGGCTCCGGAGGGGAGCCAGCCGACGACATGTACTCTGATGTGTCATTGGAAGAAGATGTCCAAGGTCTTAACTATAAGGTGAGTGAGAAATGAGAAAAAAGTATTTACTAGTCGTCTGAAAGTAGCTATTCACTGCATGGGTAAATAATAAGAGTTTGTTATAGTCCTGAAGGCTACAGTTAGACCTCACATGTCACTTGTCTTTTGACTCTTTTGTCCCTGTGACTAACAGTCAAAAGTATTAGTCTCTTTTGTTTGTTATGATTAGTTCCAACATAACGAATGACTTCATCGTATAATTGTTCACTACACATGCTCACATACTACACACTCCTAGTTTTAGCGAATGATTAACCGGTCCGGAAGACATCAATTGAATGACAATTCATCAAATTGGTTAAACTCTTGACCTCTACATAACGTTATTCAATTAATTATTATATCGACACAAAAAAATAGTCAGCAACTTACTTAAAAGTTACATTTTTTATATATTTTAGTAGTTTTTTTAGTTAGTAAGTATTGAGGACGATAGCGATACTTAAACATCTTGTTTGAAAAACTTGCTAAATTACAAGATATGCTAGGATGTTAGTGCAATATTAAACGGAAAAGAAAATATTCATCATAACGAATATATATTATATTTGTAGGTATACATTTATTAAAGGATTTTTTAAACATATTAATAATAGAGTGGAATATGTAGATTTATTTGTGTTTAAAAATAATTACAAATGAAAGTCTCATAAATTATGTAACAGTTCAGCATGTTTAATCATGTCAATATTATGCAAATAATAATTAATTTTATTTTAAATATCTAAGCAACGACAACTCCTTATCTGACTGTTTTTGTAATTAAAATATTTCCGTTAATAACGTTAAATGTCTTTTTAGCCTTATAAGTACACTACCGATAGATTTCACTTTGCCCAATTACTAAACGTCGAGCTATAACGAAACGTAGTTGCGTTTAGTTATAACTCCACATCTGAAGTAATATTAGTTAGTTTTAGTATCCTATTCAATATACGGTTATAAGATATATTTGTAATCAGAAAATATGTAAACAGAAAATCTTAAAATATGCTTTATTCTACGAGTATATTCGTAGAATAAAGCATATTTTATGATTTACTATCAATAACAACACTTAACAAAGCAAAATGCCAATCAACGGAGATAGAAATTGAAAAGTTGGTGAAAGTCTTAAAAACAAAATAAACGAATGCCCGCGTTTTAAATATTTATAACTAGCTGACCCGGCGAACTCTGTTCCGCCTTAAAGGCAATAAATAAGCCGATTTTCGAATTTAGTAAGTTAATTTATTTCTTAGAAAAAAAAAATGAAGTACATTAATCATTTAATATTGTTTCTGCATTTCAGTACATAGGTTGCTCTTCACTTAAGTACCTTGTGATACGCGACATTTTTTATTTTCTTATCAGGCGCAAAAACAAACAACGCAGATGGTCTTCCGACCCGCGAACATGCCACATATAATTGACCATGGGAAAAACATAGATGTTCTAGATTCAAACCACAAACTTTTAAGGATTGGCCTTGTGATTTGTTGCTGGTCATGGCAAATGCAAGACGGATCGGAAATTGAAGTCTTTTAAATTCAAACGTCAAATCGGTTGGGATCATCGGGATCCTCGGAATGAGAACTTCCTCACCTTTGAATTTTCCTTTCAGTACCGTCGCGTAAATTACATTGTTCATCAATTTTTAACCACCAAAAAAAAAAACGTACCGTTGCACAATTTTGGTTGGTTTATGTTTCGAAGCATGATTACTACGGAGCCAACCTTTAGGCGTAAATTGTGCGGTGGTAAGCCAGGCACATCCAAGGAGTTTAAAAATTCAATTGGATAGTTGGTGGCTTCATCTTCATTTGTGACGCAGTCAATAGATTTGAATGAATGCATTGTTCCAATGATCTTATTTTGAATTATATAGTTCAGGTCGGCTACATCTTTATTCTTAGCCGCTAAAATTGCTCGCTCACTCAACCATTCATTATTTTTGTAGATAGAAATAATGTCTGGCAATACATTGTTAATAAGTTCGTCTTTTGATGAGACAAAATTACAGAAATTATTTGGAAACGTTTATTTCGTCGGCAGCCGTAGATCTTGGAATTACTGGCAGTGTTTGGCGGAAATCGCCAGACAGTAAAATCATTGCTCCTCCAAAACATCTCGAATCATTCCGTAAATGTTCGGTTAAGTGCTTCTAATGTACGTTTATGCGCAATTGTGCATTCATCCCAGATGATGATTTTCGATGCCGATAAAACTTTGGCCAGCAATGGCCAAAGTTTTATCGGCATCATTTTTCGTAAGGTTTTATCATTTTTCGTAATATTACACGTTGGTTCTTCAATAGTTTGAAGATTTAACAGTAATTTTAATGCTGAATGAGCCGTAGGGCATCCTTCTAACAATGTCGCTGCTATTCCAGAAGAAGCAAATGCAACCGCTATGTTGGATCTCGCACGAACAGTGGCTAAAACTACTGACATGAGGAATGTCTTACCTGTTCCACCAAGGGCATCTAGGAAATATAAACCACCATTTCCATCATCGATTGCCTTAATTAAAGTATCATAAACTTCCTTTTGTTGGGAATTAAACATTCTTTTGAACTACTAAATCTAATTCTTGGTGATCATATTCACGTTCCCGTTCCAATTCTCGATTAAATGCGTCATTCATTTCACGATTGGGCGCTGGCATTCCTAACCTGATTAATAAACTACCGCTCATGAGGTAACACATATCTTCGATCAAGAGTAAAGCACGATTATGTATCTCCTCATTCATCTCAACATCGTGATTTCTGGAAGTAATACGAATTTGATGTAAAATATCTTCTGACATATTATCCTTATATTTGTGCCACAGGTTACATGGGTTTGATGGAAAGCATGTCGAAATTATGATAGCGAATAATGTGCGTATCTGACTTGGAGATGCAGAGATAATGGCTTCAGCGATTGTCGTATCGCTTTGGCAGATCGCAAAGAAACTGGTCAATGTAGTTGCTGGAGGTGTTTCAGCACGTTGCATAGCATTCGAAGCCGTGAAATATACTCGTTGACCATTCTCCAGATGCACCGCCAAATGCACAACACAGTAGGATGACGTTCGTGAATAGGGAATGCGAATATACGCCAAATCGCTTCATTACTGTTTACATAACGACCAAATTGATAGCGTGAAATTTCATCGTTGGTTTTTGAGGATTGCAATCCAAAAACCGCCATATCGCTGCCTTTCGTGACATATTTGCAAATATATTTTATGGACTTTACTGAATTGCAATACTCAACGTTGCAATGTGTCTTGAACGTTTCAGAAATATGTTGCGAATATGGAACAATCCAACTGTTGTCGACAACGAAATCCATTCTTTTCACTTTTGTTGTGACAGTTCCACCGTTGTCATCAGGTGATCGACACCGATACAAAAAAAAAAAATACGGAATAAATAGTATCCTATGTCCGTCTCCTGGCTCTAAGCTACCTCCTCACCAATTTTCAGCCATATCGGTAAAGCCGTTCTTGAGTTATAAATAGTGTAACTAACACGACTTTCTTTTATATATATAGATTTATTATGTAAACTCAATAAGCTCTTAATGTGTTTATTTGACGCCAAATCAACACAATTATATTTGTTACCTGTTGTTATTAGTAATAATATTTATATTGTGCGATATGTTTGTAATAAAATTACATACAACTTAGGCATGTATTACGTGTATCTGCCCAGTTTCAAACAAAAAATAATTATTTGATATGTACTCGTATACTGTAGATGCATCAAAATTTTTAAGTGGTTTTCAGGGACAAGGCCTTTTAATAATAAAAAAAGTTTTCCCTATTTACCGAAGACAAACTTCGGATTGTACCTACTCAAAGAAAATATTTTAAACAAGTTTAGTTTGTATAAACTAGAACTGGCCGTAATTACCTTTGTAGGTAATAAACTTTTAGAAAAGTATCACCGATTTTTATGAGCTTATGTCATGATAATAAACTGTATTCTTCATAGCTTAATGTTCCTTCACCGTTCTGGTATTTTTTCTGCAAAACAGATGAGCGTAAACGTGAAAAAGTTATCTTTGAAATAAAAATAATTTTACAAAAGATAGGAGTTCTGAGTTAACAAATATAAAAAATCAGTACAACCGAATTGAGAACGTTTGTATTTCGTTAGTTGTAAACGTGTTTTACTTTGTATGTTCCCGAGTCATACCGTCTCTGATTCACCACATGCGCACACTCAGAACGCGGGAAGTGATGAAGCGGCCTAATTTTGGTACACGTCATATCATGAGTCCCGCTTTGTATATATACAAATGTATAAATATATCAAAACTTGTTGCTTATTACTTCACATATTTGTTATTTAAAGAACATAAATTTGAAGTAATATGTAACATAACCTAACTAACGAAACCTTCATACTAAAGGCTAATCAATTTGCCTTCATAAGGTAATCGTTTGCGGATAACTTACGATTGGAACGGATAACTTGGATTTTACGAGTACCAATGTAGTTGTGTGTGAAGAAAGTTTGATTTTACAACCTGTGTTCATTAGCTACAGCTAGATACGTATATAATAATAACACCCACTTTACTTCTAAAACTCATTCGAATTTTACAACTCTAATCCACTTTTGATGATAAACCTTAGTCCTTACCTTAGTTAGCGGTCTGATTGCAGACTCGAAGGTCCTGGGTTTAATTTCCACACAGGAAAAATTGTTGTGTGAAGAACACCGCCAATTATTCCGAGACTAGCTGTAATTTATAAGTTTGGTGTCAAGTATCATGTATAAAAAGTCGATCTATACAAAATTCGAATATAAAATTAATGTAGTATTGATGCACCCGCTGCACCATAGTCTATAATTGGGTAGTTTATGGTATTCGTATCAGCTTCAATATGAATCACACTCGCTCATTCATGCTTTACCAGTCAGTACGCTACATTACCACTATGGAGACAATTTCCTATGAAAACTGTACCGTGTAATAGAAAATCTCGATTTTTGTTGA